GGAAGTTGAGATGTGGTTGTTTCATTGGTCCTGACGAAGCTGAGTGAGATACGCCCATCGGCGAAACGCGTTTGACGTCATACGTCAGATACGTCACTTCCGGTCATGCGCACTAGGTGGAACGCACGCTGACCCATTAGGAGGAAGCCATCTTCACAGTTGAGGCAAGCCAAAGCAGCACAGGCGCCAAGAAGGGTCTGGAACCCGCGGTATATCGGCGGATGTCAGCGGTGGTTCCTTGGCCTCTTTTGGCCTTGTATGGCAATACCTATGAAGGACATCCTTTCCGTTCCTATTATCCAGTGCACAGGTGGTGAGTGGATTGTTACAGGACATTAGATATATGGTCCTCTGTCATTATATGACCTATATATCCTACATAGAGTGTAAGCTCTGTCAGTGACTCTTCCACATATTGTTTGTTTTACTACAGGATGGGGACATCATGGTGCTTTTTATGGGAAACAAGACATACCACATGCATTTCAACAGGCAGAAGATCTTCTGGGATGTGTCTTGTTTTCCTTACAGAAAGTGGTGTGTAGTCCACATGTAGTGGTGAAGAAACCATTTCAAGCAGAGTGCTGCTTTTTGCATCCTTTCTTCCATCCTGGGAATAAATGGGGCATATTCTCATTTAAGAGCTCTAGGAAACAGCTGTTTTATACAGATGAATGGGCCCCAACCACTTGTGCCGGCACAGGAATATATTGCATTATACATATGACATTTTTGTCTTTTTTCATACAGGCCTGTGGCATATTGTTCTCCTCTTGACGCATTCTGTGCTTGCTAAATTGCATACATGTGATATCCGTATCCATAGTATAATTTTTGGATTTCCTATTTGGATATAACCATTAAGGCAATAGCCGCATTCTCATATTATAACTTGTATTATGGTATACCTATGGTATAATTTTTGGATACACCTCCGTTGGGAAGTGTTCACCTATGTGTCTGTGTCTCAGGGACATTAGACTCTTGTAGTCATTTTCTCTGTTGCACATGCATTTAGACCGGTCTTGGTGTTATTTTTAATGGTTTTAGGTCTGTGTGTATTGTCTCATACTGAGGTGATGGTAAACCAGGGCGACTGCCCATATGTCATATTTATAAGTGTAATAAAAAGCATAATTTTTGGAAATTTTTCTGAGTGTCACATTCTGTTCATAATGTAGCCGCTTTTCTGTGAATTCCTTTTCACAAATCCTCCTTTTTATATGCCTTTTTGGCTACTGAATGGAGACCAAATATTGGGTGATACGATAATTTAATTGTATAACCTCTCAATAATTATCTTTAGCATACTAGATACAGGGGCCCATGGAAAAACACACACCAAGGCACAGACTGCAGGTCTGGCCATCTCTTAAATACACCACCTGCAATCAGCCCTAGGTGATGGCTAATTGCCGAAGTGAACCTCTGGTTGTTGAGAGCACCCGCTGGCCAGCCCTGGTACTGCAGCCCACAAGGCAGGTGAGTCCCACCACTATTGGCAAGTCCATTCCTGACACCCTCAGGGGGAAAAAAGGCAATAAGGCAATGAACATAATAGAACAGGGTACCAAATAATAACACTATGAGTCCCAGGAGCGAGAACCTCCGTGATGACCTCCCCATAGAAACCCGGAGAACCATGGGTCCAACAACCCCCTCCTTCCCAACTGGGCCTACCAGGTCAACCTCCCAACCCAGAGCCCGAGGGAACCATCACCCTATGCAACCAACAGAGCCCCGAAGAACATCACCCAGACCCAAAATAGGCTGCAACAGCAGAAAGTCATAATCCTGAAGTCCAGGAGGAGACCCCCCCCCCAGGGATGGAACCCAAGGGAGCAAGCTGGATCAGTCCCAACCTGGAATGCTAACAAACTGGGAAAGCCCAAGGGCCAAACTCACGGTCCCGTCAGAGAAGTCCATCGGTTGAAACAATACGTGGGAGGTCCAAGATGCATCTTCAGCCCGGAAAATAACAGGAAGGACTTGACCGGGAAGGGGTCTGAGGGAGGGCCCTCTTCCTGTTGGACGACCGCTCCCAGATGTGGCCCGGAGGAAGCGGCCTCGCGGGGATCCAGATGAATGAGCTGGGCTCTGATCAGCAGCTTCCGGCGAAAGAAGGTGCAAAGATTCAAAGAGAGAATGGGCCTCCTCCGGCGTGGCAACAGAGTGACTGCGGCCCTGGTAGTTGAAGGTGAGGCGGAACGGAAAGCCCCAAGCGTAATTAATACTGCGTTTCACCAGGACCAAAGTGAACGGCTTCAACTGGCGGCTTCTGAAGAGTGGTCTGGGAGAGGTCCACGAAGAGCTGGTAGCGATGCCCCAGGAAGCTGAGATCAGGGTTGTTTCTGGCCGCCAAGAGGATAGTTTCCTTAGTGCGGCAATAAGTAAACTTGATGATAATGTCCGTTGGGGGCCCATCCGGTCGTCTGGGGCCCAATGCATGATGTATGCCGTCAAATTCGTGCCGGTCAATGGGAATAGCAGGCGTCAGCTCCTGAAACAGAGCAGTATCGGTGGAAGTGAGATCTGCGACCGTTTCCGGGATACCCCTTAACCGCAAAATGCCACGGCGGGAACGGTTTTCGAAATCCTCAAGCCGTAGCAGCGTGTGCGCCAATTCTTTCTTGAGGTCGCACAAATCCTGTTCGTGATTTTCAATGACCGTGGCTGCAGCGTCCATTTTATCTTCGAGATCGTTCGTTCGGTTGCCCAACTCCCGAATTTCTCGCGAAAGACAGTCAGCCAGCTTGGAGGTAGCGGAGGACAATTCTGACTGCAGCTCAGCATCCCGCAAGGATGGAATGAGAGACTGCAGGGATGTCTCTGATGCCAGGTCTTCCATACCGCTAGGATCCGACCCACCCGTGGGTAGCGGCGGCGGAGGACCCGAAATCGAGGCCAGGGCTTCATTTGCGGCCTCCGGTGGGAGCCGCGAACTCGCGGCCGGGGTCCTGGAAACCTCTGACGGCCAGCCCAAAATCGAGGCCGCGGCTTCAGCTGCGACCTCCGGCAGGTGCGGCCCGCCAGGTGCTGGTGGCAAGGGCGGCCGGTGTTTTCTTGCCCATTGGGGTACCCAGAGGACAAGGGGCCAGCGAGAAAGCAGGGGGACCCACGAGGGTTAAAAATCAGCCGATGTGTCCAGCAGCCGAGGAGAAGATTCAAAAGGCAGCCATCCTGGCTGCTACTCACGAGCGCCCCCCTGAAATGTGATTTTTAATCCCAGACCCTATATTGTTTATAAATATATTAAAAAGTAAGGGTCCCAACACTGAACCTTGGGGTACACCACTGACAACCCTAGACCATTCAGAGTATGAATCATTAACCACTACTCTCTGAATATGATCTTTTAGCCAGTTTTCTATCCATTTACATACGGATTTTTCCAAGTCTGTAGACTTTACCTTACACATCAGCCGTATATAGGGAACTGTGTCAAACGCTTTTGTAAATCCAAGTATACCACGTCCACTGCCACCCCTCTGTCCAAGCTTTTGCTCACCTCCTCATAAAAAGAAATCAGATTTGTTTGACAACTTCTGTTTCATGAATCCCTGCTGTCTGTTGCTTAAAATATTTTTTCCAGCAAGAACTCATCTATGTTGTCTTTTATTAAACTCTCCAGTATCTTCCCAACTACAGAAGTTAAACTAACAGATCTTAAATTACTTGGTAAAGATTCTGTCCCCCTTTTTAAATAATGACACCACATTGGCCTTATGCCAATCCAGTGATACTATGCCAGTCATTAATGAGTCCCTAAAAATTTGAAACAATGGCTTTGAAATGACATAGCACAATTCTTTAAGGACCCGTGGGTGTATGCCATCCGATCCAGGTGCTTTATTCACCTTTATTCTGTCTAAATATTTTTGGATCATATGTGGATCATCTGGAGCCAATGTGGATCATCTGGAGCTGTGTCAATACCATTCCCATTATGGACAGGAGCTCCCCCATGCTCCTTTGTATACACACAGCTGAAGAAGGTTTTTAATAAATTTGACTTCTCTTTGTCCCCAGTCACCCACTCTAGATTATTTTGTAAAGGGCCTACATGCTCGAATCGGACCTTTTTACTGTTAATATATTTGAAGAATTTTTTGGGGTAGGTCCTGCTATCGTTTGCAATCTGTCGTTCGGTTTCAATTTTAGCAGCTTTTATTTCCTTTTTGCATATTCTGTTATATTCTTTGTAATGTTTAAACGATGATAACATTCCTTCATTTTTATATTTAATAAAAGCTCTTTTCTTATTATCTATAGCTTATTTAACTTTGGCCATAAGCCGCATAGGTTTGGTTTTTAGCCTTTTAAACTTGTTGCCCATGGGAATATATATCTGCAGTGTGTTCACATACAGTCTTTTTGAAGAACTCCCATTTCTGTGTTGTGTTCATTGATGCCAATATTCCCTCCCAGTCTAAGTCTTGGAGAGCAGCTCTCAGCCTTGGAAAATTAGCTCTCTTAAAATTGAGCATTTTTATTTTTCCCATATGTGATTGCTGTTTACAGCTAACAATAAATAAAATCATGTTATGCTCACTGCTACCCAAATGTTCTTTTATATGGACATTTGTATTAAGCTCTGCATGGTTTGAGCTTACTAGGTCCAGCAGAGCATCATTCCTAGTTGGGGTCTCTATGAACTGTACCATAAAATTGTCCTGTAGTAGGTTTTAAAATGTTTGCCCTTTAATTGTTCTTACAGTACCATTACTTCAGTAAGATTCCAGGTAGTTAAAATCCCCCATTATTATCACTGTCCCAGCCCTTGCAGCCCTTTCAAACTGTGCAAGGAGCTGAGTCTCCACCTCCTCATTAACACTGGGAGGCCTGTAACAAGCTCCAATGATTATCTTTGTAGTACACACCCCCATGTGCAGTTTCCGCCCATCAACACACACTCTCCATCAACTAGGTCCTCTATCACACTCGCTCTGAGATCAGTTTTCATCAAACTTCTTTCATACATTTTTTTTTCATACATACAGAAAGATTACCCTGAACCAGAAGCATTTATTCAAAGGATGGCATCTTTGCAAATAGACTGTGATGCAGAAGCTCCCAGTATGCCACCAAGAGGTATGTTGATTTCCTATATATTGTATTTTTTTTTAGAAACATTTTTTCAGAACATTAGATGACTAATGCCATGCCATTACTATATACTGTATATATAAATAAATATATATATATATTTTTTTGATTGCATATATCTACTGTATGAGGTTGGACAAAAATATGGAAACACTACATGATTTGCAGGTGTGAAGGTGACGACATGTTTTGCTTTGAAAGCGGAAGTGATGTAACTTTCTTTTGCTTCCACTGTGCGATGAGACACCTAGCTAACAGGTTGGGAAGCCTCACTTTCGTAATTCACTGCATGCACTGCCACTAATACTGAGTCATGTCAGAGCTTACTGAGTTTCAAAGAGGGCAAAAATTGTTAGTGCTTTCTTAGCTGGTGCTTCTGTGATTGAAGTTGCTAATTTATTTGCCGTGACGCGAGGTATCAAAGGCTATGACGGCATATACAGTTTCCAGAAAAAAGTTGTCTGGTAAGCATAAACGCAGAAGACAAAAGGACATTGTGGACCCAAACTAAGAAAACTACTGCTGTCAAAGTGACTGTAGAGCTCAATCTCAGTCTTTCAAAGCTCGTGTCCATAAAAACTGTGTGGAGGGAACTCCATAGGCAAAACATTTAAAGCGAGCTGCAATTGCTAAACCAATAGTGACCGATATTAATGCTCAGAAGAGGAGAGAGTGGTGCAACACCCATAAATCATGGACCATCTATCAATGAAAGACTATAATGAGGTCCAATGAATCAAGCTTCACAATGTTACCAACCACCAGACATGTTTACATTTGGCAAACACCATCCCAAGCTTACGACCAGGTCTTGTGCCAACGGTAAAGCATGGGGCCGACAAAATCATATTTTGGTATCTTGGTATTCTGCAGGCCCCATTATCAACTTGAAAGGTATAGTCACTGCCAGTGAAAATGTACACATTTTGGCCAACTATGTGCACCTAATGGTGCAATGATTGTTTCCCAAAGACAGTTCCATTTACCAAGATGATAGCTGTTGTGAATTTGTGGTTTGACACACATGATGCAAAGTCTCGCACCCTTCCTGGGTGCTGCATTCATTAGGCCTCAAATATCATAGAGCCACTATGGTCAATTTTTGAGAACAAGGTTACATTATTACATTACATTACATCGAGTTTATATAGCGCCAAAGGGTTTGGTCAGCGCTGTACAATAGAGGGGGGGGGGACAATACATGAAACAGTACAGCAACTACAAACAGCACACGAGGGGTTAGAGGGCCCTACTCTTTCGAGCTTACAATCTAGGAGGGAGGGGGTAGTGGTACAGGAGGAAGTGGCTGTGGGGGATGGAGTGGTAGGAGGAATGAAGGAGAGCGGCAGTTAGGTGAGGGTGGGGTAGGCTTCCCTGAAGAGGTGGGTTTTCAGGGAGCGCCTGAAGGTGAGGAGGGAAGGTGACAGTCTGATGGATTGGGGTAGTGAGTTGCAGAGGATGGGGGAGGACCTGGAGAAGTCTTGCAGACGTGCGTGGGAGGAGGAAACCAGGGGGCAAGATAGAAGGAGGTCCTGTGAAGAGCGAAGGGTACGGGTAGGGTGATACCTGGGAATCAGGTTGGTGAGGTAGTTAGGGGCAGTGTTGTGAACGGCTTTGTAGGTCAGAGTGAGTAGTTTGAATTTAATGCGTTGGGCGATAGGGAGCCAGTGGAGGGATAGGCAGAGGGGGGTGGCAGAGGTGGAGCGGTTGGTGAGGTGGATGAGTCTAGCTAGCCGCTGAGTTCAGGATGGTCTGAAGTGGGGGGAGAGCATGCACTGGGGAAGGCCGGTGAGGAGGGAGTTGCAGTAGTCGAGTTGTGATATGATGAGGGAGTGGATGAGCGGTTTAGTGGTTTCTGGGGTTAGGAACGTGCGGATTTTGGCGATGTTGCGGAGGTGGAGTCTGAACGAGTTTGTTAAAGATTGGACTTGGGGCTGGAAGGATAGGTTGGAGTCCATAATGACACCAAGTACTCTGGCCTGTGGGGCGGGTTTGATGGTGGCAATATTGGATGTGAGGGTGGGCCTCACAGGGTTCCTTTTTAGGTTTGAGTTGAGTATAGTACATAAGAGTGCGTAAACCCGGATCCATAATCTCTAGGGCAAGACCACCATACATGAGGGCAACCCTGAAAGCAGGTCGATGGATATTGTGGGAGGATTTTGGCCAATCGAGCTGCTGTGTAGTACCAGCGGTACATGACCTTATAGGCGGAGACATTTCTGGAGCATTTGGAGGCTGTTTGGATCATTATCTGCCAGTCCTCAGGTGTCAGGGACACAGACAGTTCACGTTCTTAATGTTGTTGAAAAAAGAGTTTAATGGAGGCTTCTTAGAGGAAACGATAGAGGAATATATTAGAGAGATTATACCTGTTGAGCACAGACGTGACCTGCAAATGCTTTCAAAAGCTGATAGAAGATAAGGTGCTGGGTGAGGTGTGGTCTAATCAGATTATGAATGAAGTGGCGAAGTTGAAGGTAGAGAAAATGTCCTCGTAAGGGTATCTCATGAGATGAGCGAAGCATTTCAAAGGTAGCAATCCTGGTCAGGTAAGCAAGGAGTGGACTTCGAAAAACCCGTGTCCCGTCCACCAGGCCTGGTTGGTCTAGTCCAGGAGGAAACAATGAACAGAAGAAAAGGTGTAGAAGAGGCAAATAAGGGCGAAATCAATCCAGCAGAATATTTGATAGAATCCCAGAGCCTGAGGGTGTGCAACAGAGAAGGACCTATGCCCGAGGGGCGATTAATGGGAGGGTCCCACGGCAGAGAAGGCAGGGAAGTCGGGTAGGAGTTGACAATGTCAATTGTGGCCCATAGGGGTAAATGGTGAATCTCATGTAAAAGGGAATGGAAGCAAGAATGGCTGCAAGATAGTAATAGTAAGCGCAAAGATTAGGGACCAAAAGACCTCCTTGGGTCTTGTGAGTGAACATTATTAATAAAAATGTGAATAAACTCAAGCGTTTACTATGGTGAATACAAAATATAAATAAATAAGTATGATAGGAATACTGTAGCCTCTAGTGCACACAACACATGTCTGAGTGGGCTAAATAATGAATAATATCAATGAAAATATGCTGCGCTGCATATAAAAAATGCACAATACCTATAAAATATATATACGTAGAATGGTGATAGCAGAAAACAAAAATTATGTGACACAAAATAAATAATTAATGAAAATTAATATTCCAAAAAAATATATAATAATCAAAGTCCAATTATGTATGTCTTCTCCTGTGACCCCTCCTTGGGATAACGACCTCCGTGTGAATCTGTCACAGAATTCCAGTGCAAAACATCCTCCACCATAAATCTGGTCACCTCCAGCAGTGTGCCCTCACATTATACAATGTTTTGGTCTGACTGCACTTTTGGTCCCAAATATATGGACTCTGAAGATCAAATTGCTGAATAATAGCTCCAAATGATGCTCCCTCCAGATAACCGCCTCAGGCACAGCCGTGTTCCTCATAAACAAAAGCTCAAAATAGTGCTTTATCCTTTAAACACTTTTATTGCACATTAAACATAAGAAATGCTCTCATATTCCGTAGCTGCATATCTGCACCATGTATGGTGAACATCCAGTAAAGTACTAATTAGGCACAAGATGGCAGTATCATCCCCAGCAGCATAGAAACAGTCCAGGCTCCAAAACTTCACTATACAAGGTATATTGCAAGGCAATGCATGGGCCCTATGTATATCTGCAATTGGCTACAGAAAGGACAATCCTGGAGCGATGTGTGGATTACTACTACTGCTATTCCGATGAATGGTAACATCGTGGCCTCATCTACACACTCCTCCCCGACGTGTTTCGTCACAGATCATGTGACTTTATCAAGGGGATCTGATTGGACCGTCCGACATTCATTCAGTTTATATAGAGAACCAGTGCCATTTTGTTGTAGACCAAATCAACATGTACTGTGCGATTGAACATTATTCCTTTGCTAGGATGGGGCCAGGAAGAACCCCAAATAAAATGAAAAATATTGAATACGAAGTATATGAGGGGGGGTATTGGGACAGGGAGAACTCTGAAAAAGTATAACAGTTTGGGCAGGTATGTCATTCAAATTGCATTGATTCTTCCAAATCAAGATAATGGGAGATGGTTCCATGTAAGCAACAAATCCGACAACACTTTAAACAAGGGGGGGAGGGGGGGAACTGGCCTGGTATAGGCCTTTCGTAGGTAGGAGAGAGCCGGATACCTAAAAATGGCAGTGAGGCAAGCCATTGAAATGGGAAGGTTTGACGGATAGCATGTAAAGTTTGCTGTGCAAGGGACAGATTAACATGGAAGCAAAATAATTCAAAGTTTTCATCAGATTGGGTAAAGAAAGATGTGGCGATGTTAAGGATAACAATATGTTGTCTGCAAACAAACAGAGATCTTGTGGCAACCACTCCCATCACATCAGGATTGCTCCGAATCGCATCGGCCATAGGTTCAATGGCCAGAACGAACAAGAGCGCGAGAGATGGCAATCCTGTTGGGTGCCCCGCTTGATCGGGAAAACGAAGGATTCAAACCCATGTTATCTAACTTTATCTTGGGGGGTGCTGTACAAGGCAGCTATCCAATGCAGAAAAAACCGGCCAAAATCATAATGCCGAAGAACCTTAGTCAAGTAAAGCAAAGAAAGTGTGCCAAAGGCTTGTTTGATATCCAGCAATAGAAGCATCATTTCCAAAGAGCAACCTTTAACAATATGAAGCAATTGTAGAACTCGGCGGATGGCATCTCCTGCTTGGCATTTAGGGACAAAGCCCACTTGATCTTTCTTAATGAGTCTAGCCAGAAAGGAATTGAGCCTATTAGCCAGAATCTTTGTAAGAAGCTTTAGATCTATATTGATCAGAGAAATTAAATGATAATTTGCCCAACTGTAGGGATCTTTGTCAGGCTTAGGGATCATAACAATGTTCGCAGTCATAGTTCGCAGCCTCTTCATGGATAGCATTAT